TTTTAACTTAATGAAAATGGAAACAAAATGTATCAAAACTTGTATAGGGCACCTAAGGCATTTTTTAGAGATAAATCTATAGCTTTAAGTGTTTTTATTTAAAAAGGAGATCTAAAATCACAAATCTAAGCTTGTATTTTAAGAAGCTAGTGAAAGGCAAGCAAATTAAAACCTAATACAACTGGAAGAAAAGAAATAACAGATATAAGAGCAGAAGTCAATAAAAATAGAAAACAAACAAGAGAGAAAGTTAATGGAAGTAATTTTTAAAATCAGTAAAACTGATAAGCCTCCAACTAGACTAAAAGAGAGAACGTAAGTTACTGTCCTGTATGAAAGAAAGATAATAACACAAATCTTATGGACATTAAAAGGATAAGAAAAGAACATTATAAAGAACAATAAACTTGACAATTTAGATCAAATAATAAAATTATTTGAATTATACACATTACCAAAACTGAAACAAACAAAAATAACCCTGAATCATACAATAAAAATTGATAAATTGGATTTCATCAAAATTAATAACTTCTACACTTCAAAAAACACCATTAAGAAAAGGAATGGACAAATGGTATACTTGAAGAAAATATTTTCAATACCGAGGTCAAAAAAGGACTTATATCCAGAATATATCAATAATTCTTACAAATCCATAATAAGAAGCCAACTCAATTTAAAAATGGGTAAAGTATTTGAAAAGACAGTTCACGAAATATACATGAATGACTAATAAAGACATGAAAAAAATGTTATTAATCGTCAGGAAAATGAAAATTAAAACCCTAATGAGATATTACACATGTACACTACAATGGTTAATATTAAAGACTGACAAAACCAAATGCTGGAGAGGATATGGAACAACTAGTATTTTCATACATTGCTGGTGAGAATGTAAAATGATACAACTTTGAAAAACAGTTTGGCTGGGCGCGGTGGCTCAAGCCTGTAATCCCAGCACTTTGGGAGGCCGAGACGGACGGATCACGAGGTCAGGAGATCGAGACCAGCCTGGCTAACACGGTGAAACCCCGTCTCTACTAAAAAATACAAAAAACTAGCCGGGCGAGGTGGCGGGAGCCTGTAGTCCCAACTACTCGGGAGGCTGAGGCAGGAGAATGGCATAGACCCGAGAGGCGGAGCTTGCAGTGAGCTGAGATCTGGCCACTGCACTCCAGCCTGGGCGACAGAGCGAGACTCCATCTCAAAAAAAAAAAAAAAAAAGAAAAGGGTTTCTTATGAAGTTAAACATACCACACAACTCAGCAATTCCACTCTTAGGTGTTTAAAAGAAATGAAAATATATGCCCACACAAAGTCTTGTATACAAATGTTCATGGCAGTTTTATTCGTAATAACCAAAAACTAGAAACAGCAAGGTTTCCATCAACAGGAAAAAAAAAAAACAAACTGTGGTATAGCCATATGATGCAAATCAATTCAGCAATTAAAAAAAAAAAAACAAATTACTGATACACACAACAGAATGATTCTCAAAAACATGTTGAGCAAAAGAAGTCAGTCACAAATGTACATAATGAATATGTACATTATGATTCCACTTATATAAAATCCTAGAAAATGCAGACTAATCTGTAATGGCATAAAGGAGCTCAGTGGTTGTCTAAGGTCTGAAGTGAGTGATTGCAAGCAGCCAAGGAACACAAGGAGACTTTTAGGGTGAAGCAAATGTTCTATATCATGATTGTGTTTATAGGGGTGTATATATTTGTCAAAACTAATTGAATTATACACTTAAAATAGGTACATCTTACATATAAATTAAAAATCAATAAAATTTATGTTATTAAGTTACAGAATTGTTTAAATTTATGTAGTAAGAATGCAGATGTATTTGTTTGTCAACATGTTTCAGCTAATATCTTCTGACCAATCAAATGTATTAGTATGGTTACTATATCAGAATTAAGGTGTGGTGTGCTGAAGGAAGTTTTAAGATACACCTGTTTTATTTCTATAATACCTAAACTAAAGCAAACCATTTGGATGAAAAAAGAACTCCCTATTTTATAAAACTAAAAATATTGAGTTAAGGAGAGATGCCTAGATATCCATAGTCTGTCAACTTGCTTTTGATTGATATTTTTGCCAGTTGGGCATCAACTAAATAATATGTACAGAATATAAGTATTTTATTCTTCTCTCTAGCTTACAATCTCTAGCTCCATTTCCTTCCTAAAAAATAGGAAAATGATTAATGTCTTTATATTAATTTAAAAAGTCATAATCACAGAATTTCCTAAAAATAAGTATTTCAGGTCACTTTTTGTTTTTTTGTTTGTTTGTGTGTTTGTTTTTGAGATAGGGTCTCACTCTGTCACCCAGGCTGGAGTGCAGTGGCATGATCTTAGCTCACTGCAACCTGCACCTCCCTGGTTCAAACGATTCTCGTGCCTCAGCTTCCGTAATAGCTGGTACTACAGGCACACAACAAGATACCCGGCTAATGTTTGTATTTGTTGTAGAGATGGGGTTTTGCCATGTTGCCCAAACTGGGTTCGAACCCCTCAGCTCAGGTGATCCACCTGCCTCGGCCTCCCAAAGTTCTGGGATTATAGGCGTGAGCCACTGTGCCCAACCATGAATTAGTCACTTATCTGTTCAACTATGTATTTATAATCTAGATTTTTTTTCATCTTGACAGCTAGTGGCAAATGCTTGTTTATGACTTAAACTAACATTTTGGTTAATTTTGATGGTAGAGATAAAACTCTACCATTCAAATAACATCTAATTTGCTAAAATCTATTTAATAAATAAGATTTTTTCCTGATCTTTCTTGATCATGTAATGGTTTAGATAAAACACGTGTTTCTTGATCATGTGTGGTTTAGGTTAAAAAAAATAGCATTGATTTCATGCCCTCTGATGAAATCTACTTCCTGAGCACGTGATAGGTATTTTGGAAACGTAACATCACATGTGATTGTTTCCCCACTACATTTGGGATAAGTAAAGCGTGTTTTTCACATGAATGTCCTTGGATCACAGGAATCAATTTCTAGCAAATATTGTTAATTCTCTATTTAAAGAATGATTCATTTACTCAAAAACAATTTAGGCCCACCTTTTCTTCATGTAGAAGATACAATTCAAACATCTGCTCTACCTTACAGAGGATTAATGTCTCTTATACATGCCAATTCAGCCTCACTAGAGATCTCCTGTGTTAGTCTGGATGTCCAGAGAAGCAGAACCAAAAGAGAGATATTGGAAAGACATATATATTTGAATATAGATAAAGATATAAAGAGATTTATTAGAAGAAATTGGCTCACACAGTTATAGAGGCTGAAAATTCTCAAGATCTGTATTCAGTAACTGTGTCTAGACCAGGGAGAGCCAATGATGTGGTTTCAGTCTGAGTCCGAGTGCAAATCCAAAGGCTGGAGAAGACTGATATTCAGCTCAGGCAGTCAAGCAGAGAGTTCATTCTCCTTTACTTCCCCTTTTGCTTCTATTCAGGACTTCAATAAGTTGGATGCAGCCCACCCACAGTAGGGAGGACAAACTGCTTTACTTGTTTACTGACCCAAATGCTAATCTCCTCTGCAAACCTCTCACAGACACATCCAGAATATTTGTGTAACCAAATATCCAGGCACACTGTGGCCCAGTCAAGTTGATATAAAATTAACCACCACATCTCCCCAACTTTCATCCCCTTAAATAGATAAAAAACAAGGGGTCACTGCTTTCCCCGGGACATTCTCTTACTTGGGATATCTATGGTACATAAGGATCTTGATAACCAAGCATGATAAGATAAGCGAACAAGGTGAGATGGAAAAGCAAGCAAGTGCTCAGGAAAACATACTAGTTTAAAACATGGCCAGAATCTGGCCAAAGTCTACTTTGGAAATGATTAAGTGGTTTATAGAAGCAATTGTAAAATTTGTTTGAGGAAAAAAATGTGTCATTTGAATTTACTTTAATTAAACACTTCAGACTCTTTTGTTGTTGCTGTTTTCCCCACCCTGGTATATAGCTATTCCAGTGACTTAAACATATGTTACCGTATCTCTCAGTTTCTGATAGATGCCCAAAGATCAATATTCAGATTTTATATCGTGATGTGACTTTCTGTACAGAGAATAGTGTTTATTTTTAGGATTATTAGAAATGAATACAAATATAAAAAAGAGAGAAAGTGCTTAAAGAGCTTATTTTAAATCATGAAGATTTAGTGGAAGAAGCACCAATACAGATATTCTTCCTAAATGCTGATTATATAGCAAGGGATCTCATAGCAGTTTCTTCCCATAGACGAAAGAACAAAAATGTGTTCTATTTTTTTCCCTATAAAAATGAAGCTATGTGAATTTTTCTAAGCCAGAGATATGTTTCTTATGCAAAAATACTATGAAAATGAATTGGAATAGATTAAAAACTGTATACAAATTAACACTCCAAAGAAACTGAGTTTCTTAAAATAATTTGTTATCCCTTAACAAACCTAATGTATTCAAAATAATCTCAAATTTAATAATAGATTTTTCTTCTACAAAGTTAGATTTGAGGCTGAGAGGCAGAAATAAGTCACAATTTAAAACTAATATGTTTTTTTCAATTCAAAAAGTTTTTTTAAATCCCTAAAAGACACTTTTGCCTCATATTTTTTTCAAGAAAATGTATTTTTGGTGAGCCATGACATGCCTTCTTTTTCAAATGAAAGGGTTTATTTCAAATGCATTTCTCCCTACTCAATGCTCCCAGCCACAAGCTGATATTATAAACAATGTGAGTTTTCACTTTCATTTAGAATCCATGATGAATTTGGATACTTTCCCTCTCCAGCTTTATCACTAAAATTATGAAATGTAAAGCAGTTTTAGTTTAACTTCTTTTTTTTCCCCATGATCCAATGGTAAATCCTCACTAGACTGAGATAATCAAAATCCTCATGCTTGATACTCTAACAATCTATAACTTGCCTATGTTTCCCCCATAACTTTGTTTTTTATCCAATCCAGCACTAATGTATGCAAGCATTTTTGGGAATGTATCTGCAATTATCCAAAGACTATACTCGGGAACTGCCAGGTACCACATGCAGATGCTGCGAGTAAAAGAATTCATTCGCTTTCATCAAATCCCCAACCCTCTGAGGCAACGTCTTGAAGAATATTTCCAGCACGCATGGACTTACACCAATGGCATTGACATGAACATGGTATGTATGTCTGTTTTCCAAAATGAAAGTGCCACAGGCATTATAGTGATAGCCAAAATGGAGTAAAAGCCAGAATCACCAGCTTTGAACCCCTTGCTTTTGTTTTCTTCTCTCGGATGTGTATTTTCTCCCCTGGAGATAGTCTCTCATTCTCAATTCATGGCATTGCATGGTGCTATATCTAGTTACACTGTGTGGCAAAGGCATTATAACATGATGCAAACTGATATAACTGTGTGTAGTAGAGTTCCCACTTCTGGTGAGAGAGAGCATTGCTTTAGCTGGGACTTGGGTTTTTACTGCATGGCCTCATTGCCAACACCCCCCAAAAATAGTTGGATCCAGTTGCAATAAGGTTTGGCAAGTAAACAGTAACAATTATGATGCCCCCAAACAGAGATCTCAGGTTAACACACTTTAAAAGACAGGAAATTGAAAACTTACAGGAGAGGTCAGGGAGCTTAAGTATACATAAGCATTTTATGATAGGAAGTTTCACACTTTAAGAATGTTTTTTTCTATATTTTAAACGGTCTACGCTGTGCCCTTTTACTGTACCTGGTTTAATGCATCTTTCCTTTCAAGGGGGAAATATGGATCCATTCATATTTTTCCTTCACCTTTTAAGCAAATTCAACATCAACAATCACCTGTCATAACCTCCCTTCCTGTATCACTGCTCAAAAATCAACACTTTTAATGATATTAATGTGGTCCAAAGACCTCTTTTGATTATTAGGAGAATTGCCCACTTTCTTTTACCTTGCAATTTGGCTATAAAGGCTGGTTTCTAAATAAATTATACAGCAAATCCAAATTCAATGATGTATCATACATAGAGCGCCAGAAAAAAAGGAATAAAAATATGGTGGCTTCCCATATGGCTACTCCTCCACTGGGCAAGAACCCTGTTTCTAAGAATTTCTCAGAAAATAAAAGCACTCACATTTAATTATGTCAATTGCATGAAACAATTTTTGTGTAAGTGAGCCTGTACAATTTAAAATGGTACTTTCTGTTTAACCAGTATTAGTCTAATGAAGAAAGAAGGGTTCAAAATTAATAGGAATGGTGCAGAAAGCACTGCAAATATTACCCAATTTGAAAGTAATATTTATATATGGATAAGTTTATCATACCTGTGTGTGATGTATTTGATTGAGAAGGACATGCCATGACAAAAATGACAATTTGAAGAGCTAATCAAATGCGCACTTTTCACGCAAAACCCCTTGAGTCATTTCTAATCATCCCAAAGTTCCTTGTGAAAAATTCATTTGTAAATTGATCCCCCAAAGGAACACTTTAATCTCACAAGAAAGAGCACCTACATGTTGATCACTTTTCTATATTTCCATCACTGTTATTGTTTAACAAAGGTGTCAGCATTCAAAGTCTTTTGGGGACTCTCTGCTGCTGGGTTGGCTGAAGCAGTGTCAAGAATTTTTAATCAAAACACATCACTCATTTTTTGTTGTTCCATACTGCCAGATTATTTCAAAAACAGTAGCAAAACAATTATTTTACCCCCCTCCATGTAACTCTAGTTTTGTGACCATTTTTTTGTGATAAAGTCTATTTTGTGACAACTATTTACCTTTCATTGTTTGACTCTATTACCTATGAATATGGTTTATATACCACTTGCCTATTTACAATGTACTTATGAAAGATTTATCTCTTTCCTGTCTGCTTCACACCTTAATAAATGGAATCACAACACCCACCGGTAAGAACAGGAGGTATTTATATCCAATTTAATTCTCGTGTAAATTGTGGAGAACACCCTTGTTATCTGTCAGGTTTAGAGCTTGTTAAATGATTTCCAATGTTAGTTCTGATCTTTTTTGCATGATGTAGCTGAGGAAATACAAAGCAAGAAACTGGGGAAGACAACCTGGAAGAGGCCAAGTACAGAATAGAAATCCTTAACTTTAACAACGACTTGACCTCTAACAATATTTATATACAATTTCCCAGTCCCTATAAAAATTCACTTCTCTGCCCCTATCCCGACTCTGGTAAAGGCTGTGGGTATACGGTTTGCATTAGATAATTGTCATAAATAAAATGTCATTCTCTTTCATTATCTTCTATTTTCATGATGTAGGTGCTTTTTTTTCCTCTCATCTGCATGCCTGTATTACATCGTCCTGGAGTGTGTGAGCTCTAAACCATGTGCTGCTGAGTCTTGCATGTGGTTTTGAGAGCTTGACTTTGCACGGACTTCTTGTTTGTGTACAGTGTCTACATTTCTCATTTTGTGACTGCAAAGTGAGTAAGCGAACTGCAAGATAACTCTGAACACTCAGCAAATGGAAGATGCTTACTTGTTAAGCACTACTTAAAAAAAAAAGTTGATTAGAGAAAAAACAACTATACCCTTAGACTATTGAGAGGTTAAAAAAAATCAAAATGGATTTTTTTTACCTCCAAAACCACACTTAAAATCCCTATGTATTGTCAACTAAATTATAATTTAATCGCAGTTTAAAATCATTCAAATTTATGTATTATCACACATAAAAGCACATTTAACTTGTATTTTGCATCAGCATTCCATGATATTTTAAGTATAACCTTAAATATAATTTCTCATGAAACATTTCAGGTCATTTTCACTGTTCAACCATGTCCAAATGAAGTACAAGATACTCAATCACACTGTATTGATTGACCTAAAATTATTTTTATGAACAAAACCATTTGATTGTTTGATAGACCAAAAAAATAAGAAATAATTGACCTAAAAAGAGTGGCCATATCCTTTAATCCCTGCATCTTTTGCTTTTTGTGTAAAAGCTATTACCAGAATGTTTCAAAACTTAAAGCACTGTGGGAACAAGTATGGACTCCCTTTTAATTGAGCCAGATGGTTCAGAGTACAAAAGGAAATGGGCCAGAATAATGAAGCCACTGAAAGAATCACAGTGTTTTGTTTTGTTTTGTTTTTGTTTTTGTTTTGAGGCAGAGTCTTGCTCTATTGCCCAGGCTGTAGTGCAGCAGTGCCGTCTAGGCTCGCTGCAACCTCTACCTCCTGGGTTCAAGCAATTCTCCTGCCTCAGACTCCTGAGTAGCTGGGATAACAGGCACATGCCACCACACCTGGCTAATTTTTGTATTTTTAGTAGAGATAGGCTTTCACCACGTTGGCCAGGATGGTCTCGAACTCCTGATCTCAAGTGATCTGCCACCTTGACATCCCAAAGTGCTGGGATTATAGGCGAGAGTCACCACGCCTGGCCTAGATCATGTTCTTTTGAGTGTGATCTCATATTAGGAATAGTAAAAATCGTATGAAAGATGTGCAGAAGTTAATTCTGGAAAACTCTCTTCCCTCTACCTCCAACATTTTTAATTAGGAGTGAAGAGATACTTTTTTCAGAGTAGGACTGATAGCATCTCAATGAATTTCTCCAAATCAAAGCTGTCTTCTGATATAGTCTGAAACTTTCTGAGGTTACCTAACACTGTTTTAGTTACAGCACTCACACACACACACACACCATCTTTCATGTCAGTGTAGAATCAACTGGCCTCACATCACACACACACACACACACACACACACACACACACATACACACACACAAAGAAGTACTCCAATGACCATGGTCCATATATTTTTCCGGATGAAGAGAAATAAACTATTTAGGGCAGAGGCTACTCCTAAATTTAATATTATAATTGCATGGAAGAAGTGCCTGTATGAGCATTTAATGGAGAATTTACTCCTTACCTGAAAATAGCATGTCTGCCCCCACCAAATAATGCCCAGATAATATAAAAAATGCAGAATAGAGATTCAGAAGACCTAAAAACTAACTCTCAGTCTGCCACTACTCTTGGACAAGTCACTTAACCTCTCTGCAATTTCATCAAACTTGTTGTTTTCCAATATTTTGAAAGCACCAGAACTCGAATATGCTAAATGTGCAAAAACGTTATTATGGGAGCTTTTCTGCTTGAGGATGGCAATTCTAACCTATCTGCTTCCCATCCCCCAACTCAGGTACTCAGGTAATCCAGAAACAGTTTTCACTTCTTTTAGTAAGAAAAGGGAATAGTTCCTTATTTTTTAGCCTGGGACATTAATGGAGGAAATTTTGAGAGACAGACATAGAAAGTAGTTGGAATAAGAGCCTAGGAAGAGGTATAAACTCTCATCTGGGTGGATAGGTAAGTTTTTCTTAAAGACAGGCAGGAAAGAAAAGAGAAAGGGTGAAGGTATTAACTTGCAGGTTTAGAAGGGAACTTGATGGTACTTTCATTGCATTGTTCACTTTCCTAGGTCAAGCAGAGACTAGATGAATCCTGAGAAAGGAGGAAGTGCAAGATAGAAGTGTAGCTCAAGACAGGGAGAGATTTTGGAGCTTTTGAGTTAGCTTAATAGGCTTTAAAAAACTTAGGATCATAGTGAGATTTTGAGTGACACAGCATAGACCTGTAATGGACCCTATGAACAAAGCCAGTTAAAAGTGGAAAAGAGAATAATAAAAAATGATGTAGGACGGGCGCCGTGGCTCACGCCTGTAATCCCAGCACTTTGGGAGGCCGAGGCGAGCGGATCACGAGGTCAGGAGATTGACACCATCCTGGCTAACACGGTGAAACCCCGTCTCTACTAAAAATCCAAAAAAAAAAAAAAATTAGCCAGGCGTGGTGGCGGGCGCCTGCAGTTCCAGCTACTCTGGAAGCTGAGGTGGGAGAATGGTGTGAACCCGGGGCGGGGCGGAGCTTGCAGTGAAAAAAAATTAAAAAAAAACACAAAAAAATGGGTGATAGAGCGAGACTCCGCCTCAAAAAAATTTAAAAAAAAATTTAAAAAAAGATATACTGTTTAATAGAAATTTATATTGCTTGGAGCTGATGTGATTTCCAAGGAATATTTTAATAAAAATTTGACTTTCTTTACCTGCACAACTTTTAGTTTCTCTGTGATCTGTCAGAGTCGCCTCCACTACTAACACAGAGCTTATCTCTGCATCTACAATCTAACC